TCTCCCTGGGTCCAAGCAGCAGAGCATCATCCTTCCCATGTGCTTCAGCTCAGAAACGAGCTTCCCAAGAGCATCCTGAAATTGCTGCTGTGACCAGCAATCACTGGAGTCCAGGAGTTAGCACCCTGGTGGGGAATTTCCTACCATTTTGTCATGTCTTGCAAGGAGAGGGGGATACGTTGCAGCTAGATGGGAACTCGGTTGCACTAAATGAACGACTTGTCCTCAATCGCAAGCTCCACCTAGCGAAAGGCTCCTACAGCACACGGTGGCATCAGCCTTCATAAATTATTGCTGTGCCTGGAGCAGCCAGACCTTTCCCATATACCATACCTCCTGCTGCTGCAAATCTCCGCCTGCCCGAGAAGGAGCCTTTCTCTGTCAGGATTACAAGCTGGTGAAAGGCTGGAGGAGCGGAGACTTGCTCACAACTGCACTTTTCACCGAGGCTGGTAATAAAAGGTGTCCAATAAAAACACGACACTTCCTTTTCCATAAGGTATTACTTAAGTGGATATGACTGTATTTCATCATGGAGACAGCAGAGTGAAAAATTGGAAGCAACAGCTCCATTTCCCTTCAAACACTTTTTTAAAGCTATGACATATCCTTGCTAATGTTTTCTTAAACCACCTGCTTGGACTTTTCCCTGACAGCATAAAAGGCAAAAATTGTGGAGAGAAGAGTAGCGCAGCTGCAACGGCAAAGCTGTTTGAATCACCCATTTGTAACTCAGAAACGCTGTGATGCCTCCTGCAACTGCTCCAGGAGACTTATTGCAAGGGTTTGTATATCCATGTTTATATAGGTAGGTGTATAGATATGTGTATCTGATAGGGCCATGTGAAAGCATTGCCCTGCAACTCTTAGGGTTGGCATTTCCTTATTAATTATGATAATAATCCTCCAGTTTCTTACAGAATTAGGAGCTGTCCCCTTCCACCTTTCTAAGGCCAAGTACGATCAGGTCTTGAACTCAGTTTCTCCTGTGCATTTTATATTTTTGACTTCTATTACAAATATTTAAGCCCATTACTTCCTGGGCCTAGGGGAGTCGCACCAAGGCATTAATCTCTGCTGAGATGCTGCTGTGCTGTAGAAGCACTCTGTCAATGCAATGTGAAAAAAAAAAAAAAAAAGAAAAAATAAAAGAAAAAAACTAGCTTGCCATTTTTCTCTTTTCACTGGATACACCTTATCATATGACTAGCAAAGCCTAATGTTTTGCTAAGGAGTGCAAAGGTTAACGCACACCAGATGGCAGAGAACCGTGTTTCTGGGGAAGCTGGAGAAACGCTCAGCTGAAAACGCATCAGGCTGCAAAGCCGAGGCAGAAGCATCAGAGGATTCTCAGCATTTGTCACAGAATAATCTAGTCTGAATTGAAATCCCTGAAAGTCCAACTGCCTCTCCAACACCTCTAGAGCTGCCCTGTCTCATGGAGTACCACATTTTGCAAAACACATTGAGACCAATGGACGGTTTGAGTATTTGCATGCGTCAAATTACTTGCAAAGCCCTCTCCTAGGTCACGGGCAGCGTGCGTGGTGCTGAGCTCACAACGCTGGTTTAGCTTCGTGACAAGAGCAGTGGAAATGGCATGCTACCAGCGTGAAAGCAGAGGTCTTGGGGATGGCCTGAGCTCCAGTCGATCACCTTTACCATGCTGTTACCATCACCCCAACCTCTCTGCCTTTGCTAACCCAGAACTCGTTCTCCCAAGGACTCAGTATTGCTTCACACCCCAGCCACTGGGAAGTGACTCATTTCAGAGCCTTCAGCAACAAAGCAGTGCCTGGGGGCACAGAGATGTCACAGCTGCTCCCAGCCAGCACTCAGGGTGCTGAGGCATGCATGTGCCCAGCAGCTGGTGCAGGTTTCTCATCCAACAATCCTGCAAGCTCCCAGCCCATCCCAGGCTAACGAGGGCAGCCCTTGAAACCCCAAGGACAGGCACGGTGTGACTAACAAACCAAAGCCTGGAAAACAGAACCATTTTAGGAACCACTTTATAGCCAGAGACATCGACGGGTTCATATTCTACACGAGCAAAGCTTCCAAATCCTACTTCCAGTAGAGTTTCCTATGCAGGGAGCCAAGCACACACAGTGGATCAGGGCAGCTTATAGAGCAGACGCATGATTTTTCTGTTACTGTGCTTTCTTCCCCCCCCTCTAGCTACACTCCTATTGAGTTTCATCAGCCACTATCTCGTATTTTGGGTAATTCGTTTCCCCTGGGGATAGCACACTGCCCCTTCAAGAAATATTATATGTCTGCATTAGCGACTGGACTCCGAGTACTGGATCCATGTAAGACTTCTAAGCAGATAGACAGGAAATCCATTTTCTTTCAGTGATTACAGTAGAAGGGCTTCTGTCTGACTGGAACTTGCCTGGTGTGGCTGTAAAACAATCTGAGCACCAGGCTATCACCTTTCAGACTATATTTGTGAATTACGATGGGGCAGTTTCCACTGCAGAGCTGGGTAGGGGCAGGTGTCTGCAGAGCCCTCCGACTTCCTTTCCCCATCCTTCCCTGCACAATGCCACATTGTTTTAATTTGTGCGTGAAGGAAGGGTTTCATCCAGGACCAGACTTTTACACCACTATTCCATCCTACTGTAGCGTAACTTTTTTTTTTTTTGTATTTTATTTTTTTAAATAACTTTTACCCAAGGGTAAGCAGCTGGATGTCTGGAAGCCCCTTTGGGAACAGATTGCAGAGATAATGGGAGTGAGTAACAGAGAGGATGGTGACTTCATACCACAGAGGCTTGAGTCATGTTTCTTTTTCTTTCCTTTTTAGAGAAGAAAACATTTTTCAAGCCTGCCTCTATCACACTGTGGGTCCCCAACTTTGGAGCAAGAAACAGATGAATTGACACAGAGGCTTCCTTACAGTTTATAATTTTTAATTCACTGAAAGATTTCAATGCCCTGCACTCGTACCATGATCACCTGCCACCCAGAAGCCCACACTGGGGAGTATTTCCTACACAAGGGAGTTTGTCACCAGCTGAGCATTAGCCCAACAATACTATAACGAAGTTAAAGATCGAAGAGACATCAGAAAAGGATCATTTCCTCCTCTTAGACCAATAGACGTCCTTACAGTTTTATACTTCTGCCTACTTTTCATTCTATACTACTGGTATTTTGACTCTTTCCTGTATTTCTACATTCCAGCCTTTTCCTTTCGATATTTCTTAGATGAGAGAAGATCAAGAAAAAAGTGATGCAGCTGATGTGGACCTATGTGGCAGACAAAGTTCAGACAAAGAAAATCCATCATGGTCTGATTTCACGCTCCTTAGCTGCAGGGAAGGAGGAGGACAGACCTCTGGTACTGGCATTGGGCACAAGGGACTCCGGACATTCAGGGTGCTCACAAATCTGGCCAGAAAGCTATTTTCCACGGAAAATAAGCATCACTATCTGTGATATTTATTTATAATTTGTTCTATTTGAAGTTAATTTAAAAGGAAATTTGAGGAAAAATATGGCCCAAGAAACTGAGCTCCATTAAAGTGCTTTGAGATTTCTTGCTCAGTTCAAGTCCTGCTCCCACCCGAGGTCAGCATGACTCTTCTTTCCTTCACTGTGACTATTTTAGGCTAACCTCAGTCTATGCTTGGATATCACTCGCTGATTTTTACTCAAGGGATCTAATTTCACGTACTCTGATCAGCCTGCAGTCTCCAGCTTTGCACACTGCAAAGAGGGAAGAACGCAGCGTTCTCACCAAATACATAACATTTTCAGACAAAGCTGGAAGCAGGCCTTCAAACGAGGCAAGAGCAGGTGAAATTGAAGAGCACCACACTCCTAACAGGACAGACCCAGCAGCCACACTCCCTGATTATTCCACTTTCAATGCTGCGATGGTCGCTGTCCTTATTTTTGAGGGGTAAAATCCAGAAGAGAAGCCAACCACCAGGAGGAGGGGAAAACACAGCTGCTTTTGCTCTCGGGCATTCAGGTTTCTATGCACTCCTTGGGGCTGCTTTGAGCTACTTTGCCACCACGAGCACTTGAAACACAGCACAGCCCATCTTAGGCACTTGCTGGATGTGCTCAGGCATTGGCAATGACCAAGTGGGCTACGTACAGTGTGTGCAGGATGCACACAGCAGGTTACAAGCCAAAGGGAACAGCCTGATCAGACCTAGCAGGGTGCTCTCACATGCTGGTAGAGAGAAAGGAAAGCTGGAAAGGATCCTAGCACTGCATGGCAATGTGGGAAAAAAAAAAAAAAGTCTCCCTTTTAAGAGCTTCCACTCCAGTACATCACAGCTGCTTTTCCATATTTCTGCAGCAGCACTGGCTCAGATGCTCCTTTCTGTCAGATTTCTCATGACAGAGCATCAATGCATTCTTTACTGGTGTGTGCTGCACAGCAGATTTTAAATGTGGTGGAATTGGTCTTATGGACAAGGAGCAGAGAAGGACAAGGGTGCCTTTCCTCCACAGGGTGCGTCACTCAGCACAGGGCTGGTGCCTCCTGCCTGACCACAGCTGATGGAAACCCCTCACTGGACCTGCTGGGGAGAGCAGAGGCAGGGCAGCTGTGGGCAGCTCTAGGAAGTGTCTGGCGGGGCATTAATAGGGAAAAAAGTGATGTCACACCACAGAGGAGACTTGGACAGGCGCGGGGAGAAACTGCATGAAGGATTTTGCAAGGAGAAAGTAAAGAGGAAAGGAATTCTGTGTCAGAGCACGCTTTCAGTCATGGGACAGTTGATTTAAATATTTGCCAATGCGTACGTGTATGTACCCTATACTCTGTATTCTACCAGGAATATGACAACCTGTAAAATAAGGCTTCTCATTCACAAGGACTAGCAGCACAGACTTGGATCGGGCTGCTGCAAGAGCCTTAATTTGGCAGGACTGAGTTAAAGCAAAGTCAAAGATCTTTAAAGCTTCACCTGAAAAAAAAAATAAAATATATCTATTAAAAAAAGAGAATGAAAGAATGAGATGAGAAATTGTCTGTGTCAGAAGGAAACATTTTAAACACATCTCTGCCTTGTTTATTTGCAGAAGAGAAGACAGACACAACCGGGGTATGTTTTACATTACACGACATAAGGGTTTGTGGCATTCCTGTCTGCACTGAAGACATGTTTATACTGTTGGGTTCCATTACGAATCTGTTTAATATCCTGTGAATGCTCGGAGTCCTTTGCACACTCCAGGCAGGAAGTCTTTAATGCACATACTGAGAAGACATTTCCAACCATTCAAGCGCTAGACAAATAAGCATGGAAAAAAAAGTCATTCTACTGCAAGAATCAAATTCTTCCTGCTCTTGTGCTTTTGCAAAATTTCTTCGAAAAAGCCTCCCAATTCTAGCAGAGCATTTATAAAGTCAGAGAAAGCCATAATGGAGACAAACTCAGTGGAAAGTATTCTCAGTTATTTATCCTTGGGGTTCAGTAGCACCAAGAGACTTCAGCTGAGATCAGAGCTCAGCTCAGAGCAGGTCTTGCCTTAAGGCACTTTGTCATTTCAAATACCAAACTTCCAGAAGAAAGCAAAAGTGGTCCCCTGGTGCCCTCCTTTTCCAGATGGAAAGCAGGAATTTGGGAAATGCTGGCAGAGCACTTGCAGGGGAACCGAGACTTCTGGAGCCCCAGTCAGGTAGATCAATGGCAGCACCCTACTTATAGCAACAAGCTGAGAGGCAGCTGGAGAGGAGATGGCACCTGAAGCTTTCTAGAACTGAGGATGGGCACAACAAATATTCTGAGGTCAGTCAAAAAGTTGTCCTTTGGAGATCAGCCTCTGGATGCTGAGAAAAACAGCTGCACTTGCTTTACTGTCTTTTGTGCATCTGAAGAATATAATACCATTTGGAAAACAACACAAGGGCAATAATGTTGGATTTGGAATCTGCATACAGCTTCAAATATGAAACTTGGCTTGGATGTTCACTTTCCTTTCACAGTTTTTAGGACTAACTCAACCAGCATTATTTTTAGGAGAAAAATGAGCTTTTATTACCGTCTTCTCTCTGCTGAAATCTCATTCTGTCTCTGCCAAAATCAAGATGAGACGATGCCAAGAAATAGGATGAGCTCATCGCATTTAACAGTATGAGGTTTCACAGATAAAAACCAATGTTACTCCGTCCAGAAGTAGACAGTGGTAGACAGGGTTAAATGGCAGGTAGCTTTTAATGGGGATTAAAAATATATATATAATTATTCTTCAGATGTGAAGCTGGCTAGCATTGAGAATGCATCTCATGTAGTATCAGGCCATCATTCATAGCCAGTTAGCCCTCTAGTCACAGTGAACACAACAATTTGGGCAGGTGAGGAGGCAACACGTGGTGAAAAATACACCTGTGTACTTTACATGTATATACAGATGAAGCCTTACAATTCAGCCCAGGTGGCTCAGCCCCTGCTCTCTTCTCGTGAGATACCCCAGCCGTGCTCACTTGCCCCAATTCCAGTTTGTAATGAACCATTCTCCATCCTTTTTTCCATGCTTTGCAATGCCTATGCCATAACTAATAATATATTATTGTGCAGCTGTGGTTCAATTCTGCATCTCTTTTCATCTCATTACACATGCATTTTTAATGAAAAGGATCTAGGGTTTTTAGGAAATTTCTCTTGCTGGTAGTCCTTACAAAATGGATCCAACTGCCCTTCCACAGAGACAGAATTTCTGATCATTCACCATTATTGCATTGTTACTGCACTTTTATGCCCCTTCAGATGCCTCTGATGTGCACCTGAGCTCAAGACCCAATTGAATGTGCTCCAGCTGGAGCACAAGGGCTTGGATGGGTTCACCCAAGACATTTCTTGCAAGCTTGGTAGTCCTCAGCATCCAAGATTGCCTCATTCACTACATTGCCAAAATTTAAATAAAACTTAAATAGTTTTCATGCATCCTTATAAAAAAAAAAAAAACAACTTTAACTCTGCTGCTGAGCATCCCATGGCTCCTATTTAGGAAGCAATGGGAGGATGTGGCCCATTCCTTCTCCTCTACTCTTCCTGCAGCATAACGGGATCAGAGTCCCCTGTGACTTCCTCAGTGGTGTCTGCTCCGATGTCTCACTGACACAGAATGACCTCATTTGTTATGGCTGGTAAGAACCGAGAGAAATGAAACCCAGGGCCTGTAATTAATTGGGGTCAGGTTGAGATGATTTATGATCCAAGGAATGTGCTCACTCTTGACACTATCATGCAAACAACAGTATCAACCGGGCTTTGGAATCAAATTTAAGTTGGGATTTCCAGAAAATGAGAAATAGCATGGCAAGTCCTGAAGGAGGAGGCAGAACGGGGGCAGATGAGGCCGTATTTGATCTGCGGGGCCAGACACCTTCCCTTCCTGGCCTGTCAATCAGCAAACTCAAGTCCTGGCAACATCTCTGAATCGCGATAAATCAGGAGTGAGCCCACGCCAGGAAAATTTCATCTGTCTGGAATCTGACAGGAAAAAAGAGGCTTGGAAGTTTCAGAGGAAGGTGGGATTTGGGCTGGTTACAGTGCCTCTGTTTGTGTTCCCTCAGCTGGCTCACGTTAGCAAGGCAGGCTCGCAGAGACGTTGTGTCAAACGGTTTTTCCATCACTTGAGAACCTTGAGCTTGATCCCGAGCCGGCTGCTCTACCGCGACCCACGACCCCGCGCAGCAGGAGCCTCCGGCAGGTTCCCCCGCACCTTCTGCTCCACGTCCTAAACCAACAGCTTTGTTTTCTCTGCAGGCTGGAGAAAACGATTACAAAAGAGGAGCTCTATTTGCAAGCCCAAGGCACTTTAGCACTTTGGAAGTTAAATATAACATGAAAATAAATTGATTCGATTTGGTTCTGATTTCCTTTCAAGAAGGGTATCACCGGTGTTTTCCTTCCTAGTTATACCTCATCTTTCTTCTTGCTACCTTTGTTTCCCGTTCTTAATTGCCAGCCACGAGCCCAGTGCCACTAGTGACTGACCACAAACCGGAGCCTGGCAGAGACCCTTTTGCCCTCTGACACCAAGAGGTGCTTCAACAGACTTGGAAAACCCAGCAGGGAGCCCAAGCCTTACAGCCACTCCTACAAACGCCTTCCTCCAGGCAATTGTCCCTAGAGCAGCTACCGTGACAAAGCACAGCCATTTGTACGTGCCAGAGGGACAAGGTCGGGGTTGGGAACAGTCAGGGATGCCGTTTGCATGGCTCCATCTACTGCTCAGGATTCCCTCAGATTTCAGTACAAGTCATAACCTTTGTGCCCCCCCGTACTGGCCTGGATTTGATCATTTTTGAATGATACCATCAAAGATTTGATGGTATCATTCAAAAAGACAAATTCACTGTTATTCTGCATACAAAATGCAACCTCAAACTGGCCAAGAACAGCACCAAGAGAAAAGACAGGAGTCACAGAAGAATACAGGCTGCGTGGAAGGCTGGTCTGCTTGAAGATATCACAGTTGAACTTACTATTTTTGAAATCATATTATTGAATAAAAACATGAAATGAAAGCAGATTCCCTCCAGCAAGCCTGCCTTTTTCTATGCTACCATCTCCCTAGCTACAAAATAGAAAATTCATCAGCACAGAAGTCCTTTCACAAAAAGCTCTTCTCCAAAGATACTAATTCTTTTTTAAGTAGCAAAATCAGCTCTGTTCTGCCAGCATTTACCAAAATAGGCAGAGGAGTGGAAGGAGGAAAAAACTGCTGCAAGCTCAGGAGCAGTGGCTATAAGAAGTCTCCATAGGACCTCGTGCTTCTGATTGAACCCAATCTCAGCTGCTGGCTAAGTGTGAAAAGCATTAACCCTTTCTCAGCCTGTGTCCTAATGGGGACTTGGCATACTATCCCACAGGGGCGTGAACCCCAACCATGTAAAACTTGTTGGGAAAATGAATTATCACTTTGGAGATATGCAAAATTCTGTATAAGGGCTGAGAATAACCATACAAAAACCAGCCTGCACTAGCTGAGCTATGGTGTGCATCAAACAAACAAAAAGGTGCTTGCTAAAAGACCAGAAGAGCACGCAGTCGAGCCACTTCATTCCCCAGTGGAGGTCCAGAGCACTCCAGTTCCTGCACAGGGAGAGCTTGAAATACCACTTGGTCCTTCTAAACCTCTCTGACTCGCCCTTATCTGCAGGACTGTTGGTGGATGCAGTGTGGCAATAAATACATTTGGCAGTGCTCTTGGCTACCTGTAGTTTGACTTCCAACCAAACAGACCACAATAACATGGGGTATTTATTCAGCTGTGCCTATCTGCGGATCCTGGGGAGAAAGATATGTTCTGGCCCCATTAATCACTTCACTCTTTGCTGGAGTAAACAGAAGGAGCCACAGGGGGTTGTCTTTGCTCAGGAGGAGCTGCAATGCATGGGGTTTGCTGGAAAGGACTCCCTCAGTAGAAGACCATGAAGGTCCGTTGCTGGAAGATGAGCTGGAATAACTAGTGTCTAACCTCCTTACAGATGAGAAATGGAGCTAAAAATAGGAATGAGCAATGGCCCAAGCAACTCCTTTCTGTCCTTCCCAACACACCAAGCAGCATCTTGCTTAGCACACCACATGCTGTACCCAGGGTGTGGGATTGGCAATGCTTCTTAGCACACAGTCATTAGAAAAAGCGTGGTTCAGCTCCCACTGCTCCCACACGATTTGTACCAAAGGAAGAAGGACATACCTGGGCTGCAAGAGCTCCTGGATCCAGGGGCTTGGGGATTTTTGCATTCCATGCTCTAAAATGCATACCTTCATCTATGAGGCACAAAGCAGTGCCCCTTTTCACCAAGGCTTCTGACACAGATGAGGACATTGTGGAAGCTTGGGTTTTCACAGCCCGAGCACGCTGCAGCATCACTTTTCAGACAGATGCTGCAAGATGGGAGAGCCACAAGGCTCTGAGCCTCAGCTCTGCTCTGCTGAACATCTGAGACATGCCAGCATGGGCAAGGCAGCTCCATGAGCAGATATGCTGACAGTATTTCCTGAGCACCACTAGCCCCAGCCCCATTTTAGGTGGAAGCCTCTTAAAGCCAAAAAATATACACTTTTTTTCCTTTAAGCCTGAAAAAAAAAAAGAAAAAAAAAAAAGATTGAACACCACTACCAGGCAGATTTAAGCTGAATTAAAACAGCTTCAGAATAATGATTAAAAACAGGTATTTCGTAATGCAAATTATATTTGTATACATTGAGATTTTTCAGTGCCAGCCAGGCTAGTATGTGGTGTAAAGAAGCATGAACCATACCCCACCAGGGCTTCATTCAGAAAACACGTAGTGCTGTAAAGGGATGACTCACTTCTTCCCCTCACTAAGCACCAAGGGCTCTCTGGCAAGCAAGAAGCTTGGCCAAGCACCAGGACTAAACAGTTTATAAAGAAAACAAGGTAAAATCTGATAAAGTAGGAGCCTCTTTCAAACTTTCAGGATCTGGAGTTTTAATATTGCTCTTACTGCAGGCAAAAAAAAAAAGTCTCGACTCCTGCAGCTCTGACGTTCCAGTCCCAAGGCAGCTTCTTTAGAAAATATATTTCCTCACATTGTAATTCTACGGATTTTCTTACTGCTTTTTAAAAGGGTATGCAGAGGTTAAACATGTTTTTCACCCAGTCTCCTGGTGTTTACAAGTCTTTTTTTTCCTCCTTTCTGCTTACATGTAATAAAAAAGTCAGAGGCACCAAGTGAAGAGAAGAACAAAAGGGATGAGTGTCCAGGGGGCAGATGTGTTATAGCACTTCCAATACTTTTTTAAATTGAAATTGTGGAAACAGATCTGACTGATACTTCTGCTTCCACATGAATGTTCTCTCTTCCCTACCATGTGATTCATGTGCAAGAATCAACTCTGTAAGAACTGATCACAATAGAGCTCTGGATAGCTAATTTTCCCTTATGCCCAACTTATTTTGAAACAGTGACTTTGTTTCCAGCTTTACATAGTAAATGGGGACAACATATGAACTAGCACTTTTTGTAAAGTACTTTGCAAGTTCATTGAGCCCAATTAAGCTTAGCTGGAATTTAATGCATAGCAAAACCTGAAAGATTAGATTTTCAGGAGGTCTACGCTAATAACTTCTTTCAAGGTACTTTTTTTTTTTTTTTTGATGTGTGATTTAATTATGTTCCCATGTCTGTTGGATCTCTGTTTAGTTTCTGACATAACAGAGCAATTTCCTGAGAAGGGGCAGTAGCAAGGCAGAGATTCTGCTTTTTGTCTTCTGGCTGTAATGATCAATCACTACTGTCTAAAGCTAGACAAAGGAGAGCTGCTTTGGGGACCAAGAGAAGACCCCAATGAGAAATCAAATTAATGTGTGTGTTGTTTTTTTCCCCACTTTCTAGGGGCTGGTTTATTTTGAATTTTGGTGCCGAAAGACCCTTTACTTCGTAATGCTCTTCTGGGTCCGCCAAAATCACCTTTCATACTGCCCCAGGCAGAGGATGCTGTGCTGATTGCTGGGCTCCTGCCAGCTCCCCAGTTTGAAGCAGCTGGCTGATAATTCCAGGTACGCTGCGGAGGGACTCTTTGGCATGGGGAGAAAACTCCAATGCTCGGCAAGACGAACCCATCACTGGACCAGGGCTCCCCATTATCACCACCCACACTGCTGGGTTGTCAACTCCTCAGCTGAAGCCTGAAAAGCTGACTGAGTGCCCTGGTGTTCCTGCAGCATCCCTTCTCCAGCTGACAGGCATCGCCTTGCAGAAGCAGGAGCTGGGCTGTCTGTATTGCCCTCTGCTGGGCTGCAGCAGGACAGATGGCTCTCCTCTGGCACGGCAGGGTTTGGAGGGTTAAAAGTCTGCTGCAAGTTTTGTGGCTTCTTTCCAAAAGGTTTCAGTTAACACCAAAGGTCTCCTGATAGCTCACTCACTTTAATAGATTTTTCCCATTGACTTCTCACTTTATAGACTATCATTTCCTTTTCTGCAGGGGAGCTATTTTCTGGGTCACTGATCCAACCAACTTAAAAGGGATTTCATTGATTAGGTTTTATTGGTGGTTACTTCAACCATAATGGGGTAAGTTGCTAGTACCTGCTAACAGCTGCGTGTCTTGCTTTGGTACCCCAGCTCCGTACAGCGACAAGTGAAGTCTGGGCTCCTCTCCTGCCTTGATTGAGTGCTCGGTAATTACTAGCACCTTCTTTACCAGCTCAGTTGCTTTTGTCCTCTTTCCCTTCAATACAAGGAGACATTCACATGGCCAAGTGCTGCTACCAGCCTCCTCCTCACTGCACGTGGCCCCCTGTTCCAGCAGCTCCACACATCCCACAGCCACACCAACATCCCCCAGCTCCAGGGTTACAGCCCAGTCGGCTCCACCTCAGCACATGAACCACCTCACCCCTTTCAAGATGGAACTGAGTGGGGGATTCTCAGGCAGAAAGCTGGGTTTAGAATCCGTAACTGAAGAGCAGAGCAAAGAAAAAGGAAAGAGCAGAGAAGTACAGATTGGTAACTAAGGCAGGCATTTGCAGAAATGCCTGACAATGAATGTATAACTTCTTTTTGACTGAACAACACAGTGTCCGTGCTCTAAGCTCCTCCAGGCTTTTCCTCAGCATCATTCTTGCAGCTCAGGCTGGGCTGACTCTCTTCCAGCCTTAAATCCATAACGCTTTTAAGAGTGACAGCCTATGTAAACCTTCTACTTGAATGTACCTTTCAGTTTGAGTGATAACATGTAAACATTTAAGGAGAAGTTGCAATGATTTCTGCACTTAAAACAAGGGTACCAAGCTGCATTGTAAGAAAACAATTGCTATAATTAGTATTATAACCTTCACTGTAACAGCATTTCCCAAATACGTCCTTTTCCTGGTCACATTAGCACTTTGTAAGCACCTATGGAATGATGCATCCCCAGTATCCATGAAGCATACAAATAGCACAGAATTATCTTCAAAGGTTTTAAGAGGAGGATCCTTCAGAGTGGCAATACAGGTAATTTGCAACTTGCAGGTTCTAGCTAAGTTTCCTTTCTTCCAATACAGCTGCTTTCCAGGCCAGAAACTGTGTTTCTCTTTGGGCTAAAGAAAGTGCAACGGGCTCATGGAAGAAGACAAAAATATCTCCAGAAATTTTGTGGGAGAAGCTGAGCAGTCTGGGAGGGTTTGCCAATTCATGAGCACCTTCTGGAAGGGCAGGATGCTGGTGACGGAGCTAATAAAGCTGCTCAGCTCCACTGCCAGTGCTGTTGGAGCAACCTCTGGGCTTCTCCCATTTAGGGGATTAAATTCTACAGCGATGCAGGAAGCCTAAATGCTTCAAAGAGGAATGGCTAAATGGGATCTTACAACATCTGGCCTTGGAAGCTGAAGAAGGGGACAGGGAAGTTCTCTACTTCATCTCTCCCCCCAGGATATAAGGAGGAGGAATCAAGGGTAGGTGGCTGCTGCTCACCCCCATTTCCCTAGAAGACATTCCCCTTTCTCTGCACTTAATCTCCATACATCCTGAGCACAAATTCCTCTATTTGCTGTCACAACCGCCCTGGTACATTACAGCAAGATGACAATCAATTAACTGCTCACTCTATCACAATAAAGAAGCCACCCAACCTTATATAACTCTTTTTAATTGTTTTCTTACATTATAAGATTTTGCTAAACTTATTCTGCCATAAGTTATATCATCTAATTTCTCAAAGTGCTAATAATTTAATTGCTTCCTTCCTGCAGACAAAGTGCCTGAGCTGTCTTCTCTCATTCAGAACATTATAAAAAGTAGCTGGCATGAATACTTAAGAGGGGCATTCTGATCACAAAACCCTATAGAAAACTGCTGTCGCCAGAGTCTGTTGTGTTCCAAACAGCTCCCAAAGAGCAAAAGCCTGCCCAGATGCTTTCTTGCACACTGGGACTGCATTGACTACAGAAAGTCACCCATAAGTGCATGGTAAGTCTCATAAGCAAACCTCTATGGGCTAGTGGAAGACTCCTGTTGTATTGCTCCTATATAATATATTGAAATTAAAATGTGAAATTCAAAATAACTCGTTCCCATAGAGCTTCTTGCAGGTTGCAGAAAGACTGAACAAAAGTCATCCTTGTAATTTAAATATTCATGCTTGAGAAAGAACTTGCTAGCAAGAAAACACACTGTGCATTTGAAACCCTGATCAATAGCCTGTGTCTGCCAATTTTATCCACCTGTTTCTAGGAATATGGACCGATTGTGCCAGATCAGCTTCTGGGCTTCCTTGGGCACAGCCTTTCTTTCACTTTGTCTCAAGATGAGTTATGATGGGGTCACTGCCAAACATCCATCTTTGAAGTCAGATGACATTGTTCCTTTTCTTCATTCTAGCTAGTTTTGATGTTACAGCTTGCAAAATAAAAGGACGAGGAGCAGACTGACTTAGCTGATGATGCTTCTGATCTGTGGACATAATGCCAGGCAATTATCAGATAACACTGTTAAAATGAAGTTATGCTGATGGAGGGAGACTCACTCTAACAAAGAGCCTTAGCACTTTTTCATCTTAGTTTGCCAAAAATAGCAGTTCAAGGATATAAACAGCCATTCCCATTGCTAAAATGGGTCAAGAACAGCAATAGCACCCCAAAATGCCCATTGATGAATGCCTTAGGAAGCACGTTGCAGAACAGTCTACGTGTTACAGAGCCAAAGCTCTCCAGTTCCATTCCAGTACTGATGTGGTCAGATGGCTAGCTGCTAAGCCCCACGCTTTTAATGCTCCCTTCCTGACTGTGTGGATTTGGAAAACCCCCACTAGGATTCTTGCCTGAGTCACTCTGTCAGCCTGGCAGGAAGACTGCAAGTACTCCAAGGCAAACATCTTTGCCCACATATTCATCAGCTCCATAGGCAAAAGCTTCCATAGCCTGAAGAGTGTTACCAAGAGGCTGCTGCAGAGAGAGTAGAACGCAAGGGAGCTGTGACAGGCTGCAAGGGCTCAGCCCCCAAGCCGTTCTTGTCAAGGCACAGACCACTACCACGCATGCTACAGGAGAAAAGTAGGCTAGCCAGCAATGCAGACAAGGTATTTCCCCCTGGTGAAAGAAACAGCAACAGAACCCACATGTGTAATGCCTTTTGGACTGTCTGTTAAAACACAAGCAGAGTCTTTTGCTCTAGGAATACTCTGTAACTGATGCTGCCTCCAGTTACCTGCCCCTCACTGCTTCTCTGCAGTGTAAGAAGCCAGTTTGGTGTTCCTGCCACCTACCTGACAGCAAGAGGCAGAAGCAGGGGCTGGGCATAGCTCAGGGAACATGCTCCTTCTCTCCAGGCTCCTTCCTGAGCACTGTCATTCATGAGGCTAAGTTAGAACTGCACACAAATATTTAGCAAGTGCTTCCTGTGTCAGGATTTCTGTGTTTTCTCAGATATTACAAACGCTTGCTAGAGAAAGATGGCTAATATCAACAGGCAATGGGTAGACTCAGCACCTTATTCACAATCCTCCTGCCCAGGGAACAATGGGCTATTGGAGAGCAGCTGGGCTGATTTCACTCCTGATGGGAAGAAACCTGAGCTCTTCATCCAGCTGTTTCTTTATTCTGTTATAAAGGTACAGGTCTGTTCATGCTCTTTTCTACAGCACAGAGAGCTTCCCCCCCTCCCCCCCTTCCATCTTGCAATTTACCATGTTCTAAGATGTGCTATTTGTTTCTGTTGGTGTCAGGATCTATGATTGGGAACTTTATGTTGCACTAACCATAGCTGGTGTGGACCACAGGGAATGTATCTGAAACTCAGGAATGGGTTTTCTCAAGCCTACACAGTAGATGGAAACAGTTAAATCATGGGGATTGACACAGGATTAGACCCAGCACCTAGTTAGCACTTAAAGAAAAAAACTCTAAATCCAGGGACTAAACATCCCAGGCAGCATGAATTACATTACTAGAGTAAATCTATTACTAATACTTAACAAGAAAGAGACAGCTTCCCTCTGGTTTGTATATCACTTCTGAACTCTTCACACACTCCACCACACAAAGAGAAAACTTTAGAAGGTAATTAATGATCCTGAATGCCAGCTTTTGAACGTATAAACAGAGCCCTATTCCCCCTTTTGATCAGTTAACACCTGAAAACACATAACATATTTATGCAACAAGTACATAAGAACAGGAGAGAAACCATCAAGCAAGGAAACTACACAATCTGGTACCTATAACTTCCACTAACCTTTTGCTTATCCTGAGTGCTTCCCAGCGTGAAGTCAGCAGTCTTTTTAGGAACCCACACCTTTGTCTCCTGTTGCTTACAAACTCTGCATCCTCCATGCTACTAATCAACAACACTTTTATAATTTTAATAACTTGAAAACAAAAGGATAGATCCCTGTGTACCAGTGAGGAGAGTACACAGCAAAGGAACCAGTAGGTGACCAGGTGAGCAGATTTAAAGCATAATTGACCCCCAAAGGCATTGCTGTCATCAGGGTTAGATGAGACTGGCCTGGGAAACCTCAGGTTCATGTTGACCTCACTTAACTCACCATCAGGACCAGCTATACCAGGATAATGACAGCCCCATTCTAGTACTGCACCTCTTGTATTGTTGATTAATGTTTTTGTTGGTTGGTTGGCTGTTTTTTGTTGTTTGGTTGTTCTTTGTTGTTGTGGTGTTTTGTTTTTGTTTTTTGTTTGTTTATTTTTTTTTCCTTTTAAGGTGAGGTACTATGTGCATCTATGAGCTCTCAGTTAACAAGGTCTGAAATGAGACAGAAATTTTACGTATTCTAAAGTAAAAGGCTGAGTCTGCTTGATACGGCATTGTTAGATCCTTAGATTATCTGACGTTAACAGAGTCAAGTTCCAATGTGTCTATACAGCCTCTTGTTCTAAGTGTGTTGCTGCACTTGACAGCAATAAAGAGCGCTGGAAAGGTTGTTTTTGTGTTACAGAGACAGGGAGGTGAAAAGAATCATGCTGGGACACAAGGTCTCTCCTACAACAGCATTTCTGTTGCTGCCTGTTGAATGGGAAATTAGAATGTCATAAAGTAAACAAATATTACAGTAGAAAATCCCATCCACTTCAAAGCACAGCCATATGTTGAAATCAGACCTGAAATAACAAAGGTTCCATTATTTGTTAACCAGGAAACGCAGCAGAAATAAGCAAGAGTCAAACTGTTGTTTTGCAATGATCTGTATAGGAAAAAGTGCAAAGCACGAATATCTGATGACTCGTAGACTTTTCAGAATAATTAAAGTATAAATCACCTAACAACAATCTAACTGGGAGAAATATTCTCTTGTGGCTCTCCAATTAAATTAAATTTAAATTAACAGCCTGAATAGATTGTTACAAAATATATAAACAGAAACAAATTCAGTAAAATTCAAAAGTCAAAAAATTAACTCATATGCTTTAGTGGCCTTCTCAGGCCAGAGTAAGTTAAATTTCCAGTGCTGTATTTAACTACATATTTGCAACGTGTGGGGATGTGGGAACAGTTAACACATTTTCATTCTGCTCCAATGTACCGGGTAAAATGGCATTTTGTTCAGGTTCTCTGACAGAGTGGGTTCCTGGTAAACAGCAGATCTGCATCTTGGTAGCAGAAAGGTTAGGATGTATGTTGACTAGATGCTTAAATGTATTGCTTTCTATAACAGATACTCCTTTCATCACGGGCACATCAGTATATGTTAACTGTAGAGAAAACTTGCCAAAAATGCACAGTTTCCATTAAGTGTTAGGGATAATTTAGGCCTCTTGCCCTTTTAACATTTACAAGTCAAACTGTTTTTGTTAGCTCAGGCTTTAGTTATTTTAACTCCAGATAGATGAGTGAGATTTTTCCAAATCTTGTCGAAACTTGAAGAAATTCCTGAACAGAACAGCGTCTGAAGAGAAACAACCTCAAGACTGTTTCAAAATGACTGCTGCGTGGGTGAGAATTGGCAGGCCCGGTCGTGTGCCCCGCTGGGTGGGAGTCAGAGCGCAGGCTGAGCACGCTGCCAGGCGCAGCTCGAGCTCCTCCGCAGCCTTTCATGAATGAACTTCGGGAGTTTTTTTATGAATGGGCGCTCCGTCCTTGAATGAACACCCGAGCGCCGCGCGCTGATTGGCCGCGGCGGATAAAGCCACGCCCACTCCCCCCTGGCTGAGGCCCAGCGCGAGCTGCGATTGGCGGGCGTGCCCGGCGCAGGGCTTCATTCAGGGAGTCAATGAAACAAAGGAGCGGGGAGCCGGGCCGGGCGGGCGGCGATGCGCCAATGGGAGCCCGGCCCCGGGCTCACGGCGGCCTGAGCGGGCGGGCGGGGCTGCCCCGGGCTCCGCATGGGCCGGGAGCCGCCGCTGCCACCACCGGGTGAGGCTCGTCCCGGGGTCTCGTCCCGTTCAGGCGGGGGGGCTCGTCCCGGCCAGACGGCCTCGCTCCCGCCCGTTGATTCAAGTTTGGGGAGCGGTGAGGAGCCCCCCACCGGGTATAGGGTTCCCCCCACCCGGTGTGGGCTGGCCTCGGCAGGTGCGGGAGGCTCGGCTCGTTGTTAGTTTAACCCCCGCCGTGCCTCTGCCCCCCCCCTCAGGTGCCCGCCGAGAGCCGGCAGCTCCGCGGAGGTAGCGCACGGGCGGCAGGATGAAGGGGTACCTGGACCAGCAGGTGCCGTTCACCTTCCCGCAGGTGAGTGGCGGCTCCGCAGGGCGGGGGGTGGGAAGGGTTTTGGGGGATCTGGGCCGGGAGAGCCCCCGCTCAGAGCCCCCGCACTGATCCTCTCCACCCGCAGCAGCCGCCCGGCCATGCGGGGCCCGGGTGCGGGGCTCCGGAGGGCGCTGGGAAGAGCCCCGTGGAACCGGGCTTGCCTCCGGTGCAGGATTCGGAAGGTAAGGGGGGAGGTGGAGGGGAGGCTGGGGGTGGTGAAGGCTTCTGGGCAGGGAGCAGGTCCTCCCCCTGCGCCTCCGCCCCCACCTCCCCGTCCCGCCCGGCATCTCCGCCGCTGGAGCATCCTGCTGTCCCTCCCCAGCGCTCCACTGAGGAACCCTCTCGCTTTTCGTGCAGACCTCTTCCAGGACTTGAGCCAGTTCCAGGAGACTTGGCTGACAGAAGGTAGGCTCCTTCCCCTCGCTCTGTTTTGGTTTGTTCGGCTCTCGCTCGTTCGTCTTTCGGTGTTTGTTCTGCTCCTTCGCTTCGTTTGCCTAGCTCCAAACGCTGAGTGTTTTTTTTTTCAGACTTGCCAACCTCTGGGCTGTGTAAATGAAGAAGCATGAATCACACTATTGTGCTGGGTATTTGCTTATGAATGGAACTTGGCTGTTAGCCCGTTTTCCTGGTTACAATTTTCGTTTCAGCCTCTACTTGTTACTGGTTTGATTTTATGTTAATTTTTTGCTTATCTTTGTTAGTTGCCAAAATATTGATATTTTCTTAAACAAACAATAATCTGTTATTTTAATTCGGGGAACAAGGTGCTTTTCATAGTTGTTTTTTTTTTTTTAAGATAATTCTCTGAAAGGACCTTCCTGGAGTTTGTCTTTCTACATGCTGCTCAGTTTGAAGTCTAAATTGTTTTGCCTTTTGACTTCAAGGAAGAGGAAACTTCAAGGTCCAGGGAGTGCCGTTAATTCAAAGTGAAAGTGGTTCTAAACGGCATAATGAATTTGTCCTGATTCCAGGACTACAAAAGATCCCTTTTCTAGAAGAATTCAAAATGTATCCTCAAGTACAGACTTTTGATAAACATAAGAGAGCTTAATGCATCTAGGTACTTAACAAATATTTAACAATAGTATGAAAACATGCATGGCATTTTGAGCAGGTTTTTTTCCTTGAATTCTTCAACAAGTGAGGGACAAACCTGTCAAATAGTTATCTGGATTTTTTTTCTAAAAACCTTCAAAAAGGTAGTAACCTAAGTAAGGTTAGTAAGAAAAAAAAAAAGTTCTTCTTTTTTTACGTTCTTTTCAAATTCAAATGAAATGTCATTGATCAGGCAGCATTCAAGGGTGTGAGGACTGTAAGGATGCAAAAGGAATTATCTGGAGGCTCCACTGCGATTTAAACAATTTGCTAATTTGGAGCAGAAAAATAGGTATTAATTGCTGATCATTTATTAGATCTGCGGAGTGTGCATGCTTGCTTGAGACCGGTTTCTCTTAAATCCTCAAAAACCTTGAGATGCCGATGAGACTTGTTTGCCTCAGTCAGATTCTGGTAGACTTTCAATTTTAAACTTTTTAATATTTTTAAATAGCTCCTTGATCCAAACAATTTGCACACAATCACTACGATACAACTGTCAGTAGCAGAGTGTTTGTAGAATGAATTCACCAGCACCCCGGGTGAAGGGAAGGTCATCCCAGGGTCTTGTAGCACTGAACGGAGAAAGGGAACCTGCTGTCATGTGATTGAGAAATTGTAATGCAAGCCTTAGAAGAAAAGCAGCAGCACAAAACTGTATTTCCTATTGAATACCTTCCACTTCTGGGAAGAAATCTTTAGTGGCTACTAGAGTGGAAGGAACTCTGGATTCTCCAAACAGCTCTGCCCTTTGCTTCCTGTCAGTGAACGGACTTTAGCTCCTACCTTCTCGCTTGATCTTTAGAAGTATTAATCCTTTGTATCATCTTTTGTTCAAAGGATTTCAGGAACTTTGCCACTTCCTATATATTTTTTTTTTCTTTGCAATGCATCTGTCAATTATGCATTGCAGTCTTGATTTTCCGATTGGGATAGCTGAGTCCCAGAGCATCCCAACAGCTTGTCAAAATCACACGGCTCTGAATGGGCTCCAGGTTTCCCATTACCTGCTTTTGCGCCATAAACATGAAGAGCAATACCCTCCCCACAGCAGTCAGTGCTTCATAAAACTTAATGAGATTTTTTGATGAAAATGCAGAGAGATTTCTTGAAATTACTAATGAATCTTCAGAGCTGAGAAGACAAGATTTTAATAAGGACAAAATTAAATGAGGGTAGAGTCCAGAAGTAATGATCGTTAAACTATGGTAGATACAGAAGACTTCAGAGATGGTTTTGTAGCAGGGGTTAGTTTGGAAAGGTCACAATAGAATCTGGATAAAAAAAACTCGTGGAAGGCTATTGTTGTGTTTTTTGTGTTTTTTTTTTTTTTAATTGTTTTTTCTGTTTTGGCAAGTAGAATTTCTGTTCCCATATCTTTTTGTCTTTATTAGATTAAAAATCCAGGGTGGCTGCAAGAGAAACACTTGACTTTCTAGAAACTGGCTGTTGCAATGCAAGAAATGCCCAGTGATGATATCTATCGCATGCTTTCAGAAAATAGCAAGTGGGTTTCTTATACAGCTCATCACATCCGGTCATAGTCAAAGTGAGATTTTTGAGGAAATTCAGTGTGTGTTTTAATCATCTGGTTTATGACTTTAGACTGCACGCA